AACGGTTGGGCCAAGTAAACCCGCAGGTACCAATATTACGCAAAAAAAAAAAAAAAAAAAATTATTTTATTTAAAAAAAAAAAACATAAAATTAAAAATAGTTAAGAGTTTCAAAAAGGGAAAAAAAATAAAAAAACTCAATTCTCTCATCTCACTCAAAGAGCCGCCGCATAGCACAACTCACACCTCGATATCGCTGTCGCACTAGATGTACACTGGAGACAGTTGTCACTTGCTCATCATTCATTTCTATCACTCCCTAGTCCCTACTCCAACTGCCGTTGCTCTGATCTCTCATCTCTGTCACTCGACTCACTCCTATCTCTAAGCGCATGACACCGAGTGGCCAGCGCGTGACACCTTGTTAGGCAGTGACCAACGTACAACCATTATGCGACTTAGCAACAACCAACAGCTGTGTTTTTTAGTTTTTGGTTTAAAAGGAATGAATATTCAGAAGTTATGAAATGTTGAGATTTTTTATTGTGGTTTGAAATATTGAGAAGATGACTTATTGTGTTGGTTGGGAGAAATGTTGAAATGTTGAGATTGAGAAGTGTTGAAATGTTTTGTTCACCATTTTCACGTTGCCCTGACGACTGCCCACCATGCACCTCCTACTTGATAAATTGTTAATTCACCAGACCTTGTACTCTTAGGGTGTTATTTCTATCCTTTGGCATTAGATGGATTACGCAAGATTCAATGCGATCTAACCTTTGAATTGACTGCTCCCTATGAGCTTTAGCCTTAACTAAATTGCTCCCTATGAGCTTTAGCCTTAACTAAATTGAACACATTGTAACCTGGTAAGGTATTCTGTTATTGTCTCTTTTGTGTTAGATCTGGTATTTTCACCTTTCACTTTAAGGCAGATATGAATGGTTGAATGTGTATGGGTTGAAGAGAAGTTAATGTGATTTCATGATCTTTGATGGAAACAACAATAAAAGGAGTTGATTTACTATTCTTAACAATGGCATTTGCATGTGAAATTTGCCACATCAATTACAGTATCAAACTCGAGATTGAGTTTCCTTTACTATAGGGTAAATTGTTTGATTAGATTCTTTATTATAAAGCATGGCAAAAAATCTTCAATTGGAGTCATGTATGTGATTATAATTTTTTGTTTTCATGGACAGTCGTGAACTTCAAAGTTTGTCTTGGGGTTTATGATAGATGTTTATGGGTATATGGATCATACTATGTTGCTAGATTTTATGGGTTGGGCATATTTGTTTTATTCTTCAGTTCAAGTATTTTACTTTTCAGGTAGTCAATTAGTTTTTTGTTGTAGTAACTTGCTTGGGTTAAATTATTCTTCAAAGAGTCTATTTATATGAGCTCTAAGAGTAAAAGGTGATGATATTCATTAATTTCTAACTCATTTTTGTTCAGCTAGTCTCAACTCTCAAGCATTGACATGAAGGAGTCTCAGTCTATAGATTTGGTTAATGTGAGAGTAAGCGATGATGCTTCTAAGGTAATGAAAATGCCTACCCATACTAGTAGTACTGCTCCTATTCCTAGAAGAAAACATAAAACTTCAGATGTTTGGAATTACCTTGATACATACTTTGATGAGAATGGGAATGAGAGGGCAAGGTGTTTGAGTTGCAACAAATCCTATGCATATGTTAGTGCCTCTCATGGGACTAAAAATTTGAAGCGTCATATTAGAGATTGTGTTAAACGTGTCAATAAGGATGTAGGAAAATTAATGATTGATATTGAGCATAGATTGCAAAATACCAAGATTTGTCAAGAGACTAGTTGTGAGAAAATGGCATTATCAATTATTAAACATAATTTGCCATATTCATTTGTGGAGCATAATAGAATTAGAGATGTCCATTTATATTTGAATATGGAAGTTAAGCCTTATACTAGGAACACCGCTAAGGCATATTGCTTAAAAATATATAAAAGGGAGATGGAAAAAATTAAGATTGAATTAGGGAGGGTTTCTAGTAGAATACGCTTAACTTCTGATTTATAGAGTTCTTGTATGACTGATGGGTATGTTTCTTTAACGGCTCATTATATAGATGAGAATTGGGTGTTACAAAGTAGAATTGTCAAGTTTTGCCATATGCCTCCTCCACACTCAGGGATGCTTTTGGCAGAAACATTGTTTGGTTTCTTAAAAGAATGAGGAATTAAAAGGAAGATTTTCTCTCCTACTTGGATAATGCAAGGAATAATGATAAGATGAAAGATATTTTAAGGAGGCAACTATGTGTGCAAAATGCATTGTTGTGTAATGGTGATTCCTTCCATGTGCGATGTTCTGCACATATCTTGAATCTTATTGTTCAAGAAAGGTTATAAATTGCTAGTGTGGCTTTACATAAGATTCAAGAGAGTGTGAAATATGTTAAAGCAAGTGAGAGTAAATGAATCAAGTTTGGAGAACTTGCTGTTCAAATTGGTGTGAAAAGCTCAATAGGATTGCGATCGAATGTTCCCACTAGATGGAATTCTACTTTTTTACTGCTTGAAACTGCATTAATATATCGAAATGTTTTTGTACATTTGTCTTTGATAGATCCCAATTATAAAAATTGTCCATCAAATGAAGAATGGGATAGGGGGGAGAGGATATGCAAATTCTTACAACCATTTTATGAGATTACAACTCTTTTTTCGGGTTCCAAATACCCTACAACAAACTTGTATTTTAAAAATGTGTGGGAAATCCAATTGCTATTGAATGAAGGGATGGTGAGTGAGGATGAAGTTCTTAGTAGCATGACAAATCAAATGATCCCAAAATTTGCAAAATATTGGGATTCTTATAATGCTGGGTTAACTATTGCAACTATTTTTGACCCACGTTTAAAGATTCAATTTGTGGAGTATGCTTACAAGAAAGTTTATGACTTACCTACTACCCAAAGAAAGATGAAGGCTGTTAAGAAGAACTTATATAAACTTTTTGAAGCTTACAAGGTACAATGTCCTAAAGAAGTTCTCAGGCCTGGCACTGCCACTTCAGATGTTCTTCTTGCAAGTGGTTCTCCTCTTATTATACGTCAAGATTATATTTGTGTAAGTCACTATACTTTTTTATATTTTTGTGATTAATAAAGTATTGTTTATTGTGTAATTTTAACTTTTAATACTTAACTATTTAAATGGTGAAGGATTTTGACAACTATGAGAGTGACTTTAATGCTACCAGGAAGTTTGAATTGGATCTTTATTTGAAAGAGCCAAGGTTTAATCACATCAAACATCATAATATGGATATCTTTGAACATTGGAAAAGCAATTGTGATTGTTATCCAACACTTGCCATGATGGCTCATGAGTATACCAATAACATATGTTGCTTCAGAGTCTGCTTTTAGTATTGGCAGCAAAGTGCTTAATAAATATCGAAGCTCACTTAAACCAAATAATGCACAATCTTTGTTATGCACTCGGACTTGGCTATATGGATATGAATTTGAAGGTAACATGTTAATTTAATATTTCATATGTTTTATTATTTTCATTTACTAATATTTATATTTGTTAATTGTAGATGATGATGAGTTGATCGTGAGCTTCATGTGGCATTAACTAATGTGAGGACTGTGGAGTCAAGAGACTCTACTTAAACAACCATCGGTCCATCATGTTCGTGAAATCAACATTCAACATGAACTAGCCAAGAATATTTAGTTGAAACAATGCCAAGTTATATTTATATTATGTTTTTGTATTTGGAATATTGTGTTTGTATTTGTGTTTGTGTTTTAGTGTTTATGAATTTATGTATTTGTTTTCTATGTGCTTGTTGGTTTTAAATTGATGTGAAATTGATTTGCTTGTGAACTTTTTTGGTGAATTGAATTGAATAGGAAGTATTTGATCATGGGGTGTAACTGCAAAAAATGAAAATTGTATAAATTGTGGGGGTGTAATTGCAAAAATTGAAAATTAGAGAGCAAAAATATGGATACCCACAGATCGACCCGTACCCGTATATGGTAGGGTACAGGCCCAAAATATTGGACCCGTATAGAACCAGTCCTTTTTGGCCCGTACCCACCCATTTTGCCAAGTCTAGTGGTCGACGCCCAACGGCATCTTGATGCACCTCCTGGTGGGTGGTTTTCACGTTGTCGTGGTTTTTGATCTTGTACAAATCATTGTAGGCCTTGAGTGATTGGGTCACTGGGATTGTTTGCCGAAAATTTTGAACTTTTGGCGGAGGCCCTCCTTCTAGAGCTAAAATGTTGATACAAGATTTTGCACCAATTAGAGTGATCCGATTGACCTTGACGGAATCGGAGCTGATATGTGCGTGATTATAGATAACCAACAATGTAATGAATTAAAAGAGGTAAAGTAAATGACACAAAAAGTTTTCAAAGTGGTTTGACAAGCTATACTCTTGTGCCTACGTCCACTGTTTTTGTATTTCCTATGAGAACTTACAATAATAATCCTAGAACAATTTGTTAACCCCTTTCTCATCGTTGGAGGGGAATTTTGTATAAAGGAAAGAGCATAAATAAATGGATTACAATTAAGATTGAAATAAAACTCCAATATTCTTGCGGTTGGACACTAAGATTGTGCCAAGATTGTTATCAATCTGATCTCTCCCGAGATATCCAGGATTTGAGGTTATCTGTCAGCTGGTTGAACAACTGTTGAGATTGGTCGCGACTAGTTCATGTTGGGGTCGAGCTACATCTCGATGAGTTTACGTGGGGTCGAACAATTGATTGAGTTGAGTCGATTCTGAATTGGGCTATAACCTCGCTGATCTTTGACTTTTTCGAACTTAATGGAAAAATCACACACAATGCATGTAAATGAGAGAGTTTATTCTATCGTTACTTTTAGGGTTTTAGAGGATTAATTGATGAGGTATGCACAAACGGGCTTGGATATTCCTGATCATAAAGAAAAAAAAGAATATTATTAAAAATATTGACATGCAAATATTAGATGAGCGAGGCTTAAGCACAACTGAAAAATTAGCTATGTATACTAATTTTCACGCATACAATTGATTAAAACCTTCATGTATTTATAATTCTTCTATGTGCTAAAATTGGCTTGGCAGTAGATGCCTATAGCCATTACCACATGAGCTAATTAATTATACGTATCAAGATGGATACATGAAATTTAACACAGCCTCCTATTCTATACTTATTATTTACATCAAATCTTAATATTCTACTCTATTTTTTGTGCAGGAATTAAAGGCAAATCGACCTCGTCACACCACTCCACACTCCTTGTTTCATAATACGAACTCTTCACATTATTAGGCCAATAACTTAACCAAACCTGCCCTCCAATTCTCCACTTCAACACACTCCCTTCCATTTCTCTGCTCAATCTCCATCCCACTCCCTCTCCATATTCACCTCTTGCAAAAACCAACCCACCCGTTTTCGTAAACGGTCTGTTCCCTCCCATATATCTATTTTTAAAGCTACTGTTGCCACCACGTCCACTCCACGTGGCCATTTCTTGACCAGTTGTGTTGTCACACAAAACTGCATCGAAAACTGCAGCGTTTCCTTCAACATCCTGGTCCCACCTCCAGTTTTTCGTCTTGGTCTTTGTCGTCATCCGCGCCCGAGCTTTCACCTTCGGAATCTTTGAATTCCCATAACTACCCTTGAGATTCCTTTGCATTTCAACTTCTCTTTCGCCGTTGTTCGTTGACCGGCCTAAGCTCAACCCAGCCACATAATTTGACCCAACTTCTGGCCCGACCCAAACCCGTATCCTTGTCGGAAAATGTCTTTCGTCTGCGTATTCAACCTCTTCGTTTTTATTAAACCCTAATTCTGCCACGTGGAAGCGTAGATTATCGACACGTGCATTCACCTGAATATAACCGTCGTAGAATTCCACAGAATATTCCAGCTGAAGGACAGCCTCAAGCTGTTGGTGCGCCAAGACGTATCTTAGAACAGATTCTTTAGCTTCCATGATAGGAAACTTACCGTTATACTTATTTCCGTTGGAGTGCGTCTGTTTCATGGCGGAAATCGGCGCGTATCCTTTTAAAATCCAAAAACCCTGTGCCTCCGTGGCATAAGCGAACCCAGGATGCTGATTTGGCAGTGGTGTTGACGTCTGTAAACCTACGCCCATCTCTCTTAAAATCAACCATTTTGCTAAGATATACCCCAGGGTGCGCATAAAACACAGCTCCGCGTCAACGCCCACTGATTGCAAAAAGGTTCGCAGCACTGGCGCGTGCTTGTTGGTTAACGCTTCCAGGTTGGGACCCAAAATGGAATTGAAGTAAAGAGAACCAACTTCACTGGGAGCGTCAAATACACATAACCAGAACAAACGCGTGAGGAAAACTAAATTAAAGAAACTTGAGAAAGATTCCGGGGAGTGAGAGTCCATGATCCATGCAACAGGGTCAGGTTTAAGTTTTTGAAGCTGAGAACGAGGACAGGTGCTATCGTGCGCGGTAGGGGAGCGGGTGATAATTTCTTGGAGTAGCTGGAGTAACAATGGGAGGAATGGTTTATCTGAAGAAAGAGGACACGCGTCGGAAACCCAAAGAGTCTTCTGAGGATTATCAAGGTGAAAGCCCAGAGAGCAAACTTTGAAGATCACCACCAGGTCCGAGTGGGACCCGGAGGTCATCTCAGCTCGGAGCTGAATCGCTCGAGTAGAGTCATCTTGACTCGAGGCTGAGTTCGCTAGTGTAAAGATGAGTGAAGACTCTGACTCGGCCCACTCAGTAGAGTAGGTTAGGTCACATACCCATGACCAAATATCAAGCATGGTTTGTTGGCTATCGGATTCTTAGTTTTGGCTGTGAGTGCGTGTTTGGTTGATGGGAAACTGTGAATAGAGTTTTCTTATGTTTGCTAGGTTTATATAATGTAAATGAGTGATGATGGAGTTGCCAACTTGGAAGTAACGCAAACCACGTATTGGAAATCATGGAACTGGTGGTTTGTAAGCCATGACTTGTGGGATTTCACTTGAGGCGGCATTAACTCCTGCGTATTTTCTTTCACTTTCTTTCTTGAATTCTTTTGGTTTCTGGTTCAGAGATTTGACGGTTTCGGGTTAGAATTTTGCATGGACAATGATAGTGGGACGTGGAGTTTTGACGTTTTCTTATTTGGGGCTTACACGTGTCGGTACATTTACATGTTCAATTTTGAATCACAGAAAAGAAACACATAAAATAAATACGAAATATGTCATGAATTAAAATGGGTGGTCTACTAACTAAAAGCTAAAGCTTGCATCGTTATCCTCGTCGAATAGCCATGGATTATGTGAACAAAATAATTTATAATTAGAAAATAGTAAAATGAGAACTTGCTAGAAGAAGATATGAAATCATTCTATCAACATTTGAATATATATAGCTAAGTGTATTGGGGTACGTAGGTAGGTCATGTTGGATAGCAAATTCAAGAATTATTGATACAGAATTCTGCACCAATCAACATGATCTGATCGACTTCGCTGGGATCGAAACCGATGTGTGCGTGATTAGTAAAAATTAGCAATGAATATGAACGAAATGAATAAAAAACAAAGAGATTTTTAAAGTGGCTCGGCGAGGTTAACAGCCTATGTCCACTGAGTTTTTTGTATTTTTGGTGAGAGCTTACAATGCAATTCCCCTTTGAAAAAATCCCCCTTCCTTATCGTTCAAGGGGATTTTTATACAAGATTTGTACAGAGAAAAAAAGCGAAATTTAGGGGATTACAATCGATCTGAATCGTAATTTCGATACCCTCATGATTTGGTGTTGTGATTGAGCAGTGATCGCTATTGATTGAGTCATTCCCGTAATATCTGAGATCTGAAATAATCTGAAGATTGATTGAATGATTCCTTGAACTATCCGTTACTAGCTTATGCTGGACCGATCAATCAAAGTTGTTGAGCTCATTCTAGGTCAAGCTATATCCTCGCGTTGGCCCGAGCTTGGTAGAAAAGCCACACACAACATATGCCCCCTAGTATTCGATGCTCGCTTCGAGCTTTGAAGACTATTGTTCGATTTGATATCAAGCTCGGCTTTAACAGTGAGTCTCTAAGTGCATGTTCGAACGGGCTCATATGGTCAACCTTACGCTTGGCCGACGTACCTCACACTTGGATCTTTACTCCTTATAGTACTTGTCAAAATTCAGAATATGAAAAGTCAGGTTATAAAGGTAATTTTCGCGTGGCCGTGTCGCATTAAATGTGATAGACTTTGTCAGTTACGTTTCATCGCGCGTGGCCGACAATAGCTATTCACACGCGAAGTCGAGGCTACGTATAACGACGGTTATCATTACTGTAATCTGAAGGTTCATCATTCCCCGTGTATGATCGACACGTGGCCACGTCTAAGGGCCGAGATTGCTCAATAAATGAAGGGTGAGGATCGACTTTAAGTTGACAGCCACGATTAAACCCCGCCCTTTCATCTCTCAAGCAAACCACTATAAAAGGTGGCGAAAAACCTCAAAATAGTCACTCCAAAAGTTATTCTGACTCTCTTGTAGCTCTCCGCTATTACTCTGTGGGTTGTTACATTTCTCAAGAGTTCTCAGCAATTTCCCCATTCTGGTAAGGCTTCTCTCTCTTATTCTCTTTTGTTTTTCTGATTTTTGCGTCCGAGGGTGGCTACTCTAGTGGCCATATGAGATGTTTTAAGGTTTTAGTAGGGTCTGTTGGGTGCATCTCTGGCGATCTAGGATTGGTCATGTATTTTTGCCGCATTGCGCGAGCTATCTCGGGTGCCTAAAATAGAAGCGAGTGTGGAATGGTCGCTGATTTGTTCGAGCTTTAACACATGTTCGATTCTTTTTTCAGGTATCCAGAGTTGAGTTACAACCATGTCGTCTACTAGCAATCATACAATAGATCGAATTTTTGATTCGCCGGTAAGCTTGGCAGCCCTTGGGGATGTGGCCCTCGAGGTCTATGAAGAATTCGTCACTCGAAGCTCAGACCCTGATGCTACGGGCTTGTCCGATCGTGCTTTGATTCAGCTAGCCCAATATTTGTCATCTCCAACCCATAGGCTATGAAGAGAACCATAATCCTCGGTTACCCTCGGGGATCTCGAACGCATAAAAGCGGTCTATGTGCTGCAGCTTAACTTGATAGTTCCAGGGGAATATTCTCGGAAGAACCACCCTACCTGGATGGGTAGCAACCTTCGAGACTCTCCTTAGGTGTGGGGTATCCATTCCCCCGCACCACTTCATTGATAACATATAGAGGTGATTCGACATTGTTCCTCTTCAATTGTCAGCCAACTCTTACGTGATCATTATCGCGATGTACATCATGTATATGATCACTAAATTGGGTGAGCCATCCGTCGAAGTGCTCATCCACTTGTACAGGCTCAAAAAAAGGCAAGACCAGACGTACTACCTTTTCAAAGTAAGGAGAGTACGTTTTAACAAGTTGATCGATATTCCAAAAAAAGTTCCACACTGCGATTCACAGTTCTTTTTCTACAAAGCCTAAGAGATCACTGTCTTCACTAAGGAAGCGAGTAAGGCTTAGGCTCACGTGCACGTTGTTAGTAATGTTTCGTCGCACGTAAGGGACTATAGTTGTCCACACGCGAGGCCGAGGTGACATGCGATGATGGTTATTAGTGTAATAGTCTGATGGTTCATTGCTCCCAGCGGATGATCGACACGTGGCCACATCTAAAGGTTGAGATTGTTCGACGAATGAAGGGTTGAGATTCATTGCAACTCGATGGCTGCGATTAAACCCTGCACTTTTATCTCCGATGCAAGCTACTATAAAAGGTGGCAAAGTTGTTAGAATCCTCATTCAATCCACGAAAGTTCTCTGGCGTTCTTGTGCATTCACCTGTTGTTTTATCGTTATCACGACACTCTTTCCGATGATTTTTCTGTACTTCTTATTCCAGTAAGGTTCTTGTAACAACTTCTTTCTACTATCATACTCGTGAAATATATTAATAAAAAGACAAGTATATTTATCAAAATGGTTGGGCCCAAAATTTTTCTTCACTTAATAAATACATCCTTTACATAGTACAGCATCATTTGTATAAAAAGACTCTAAAAATCAGTGGACAGTACAGCCAAGTCTCTCCGCTTGTCGACGTCTATCCGACCATGTCCTCACCTATGTCCTGTAAAACATAGAAAACAACGGGGTGAGCACAAAGATGCTCAGTAAGTAAATCTTCTACTCTATAATCCCCGTGCATTACTCGTCAATTCTTTTCGTACTCTTGTCACTTTCTCTAATTCAATCTCTCTTGTTCTTTCTCTACTTCTAGTTCTCACTATTCTTTTCTTTCTTTCTATTCGCATCACCCATGGAGAATATCATAACCATGCATGGATGAGACACTAAAGCATAACAATGCATTTTCTTTCTATTCTTCTCTTATTTTTATTCTTATTCTTTGACGATCGGTCTTGGTCGATGCATGGATTCAAAACCCTTGACCATGTGAGTGTACTCTCTCTCGTGTATAGCTCTCATCCGCATGTATTCTCACGGCTATACAAATTCTTTTTCTCATTCTCATTCCGCTCTCTCATGGCGGAGACCGCTCTCTCTCATGGCAGTTTACATGCGGGTAACTCTACACTCACGGGTTCCCCATCGCACAACCTATTTTCTTTTCTTTTCTGTAGCACTTAATATTCATTTTATTCTCTAGTGCTAATTCTTTCTTTCTCTTTATTCTAAGAGAATTGGTTCTTTTCTTTATCTCTATTCTTAGAGTGTTTCTTTCTCATTTCTCATATTTCTTTCTTTAATGATTACACATATAAACATATGCATATGGATGGCTCATGCCTAAAATCTTTCTTATATGCATTCATGAAATGCAAATATGCTACGTTGCATAAAGTAAGGTTCTCTACTTGTACTCATGCTTCTTTTAGGCATTTCATCAAACAATATGTGCGCATATAAAAACTCTATTCTAACTTTAATTCTACTTCTTTCTTAACCATCCAAAATTGGAGTTCAACTCCTTTAAATCATCACACATCCTGCAAAGAAAACACACTTCAAATATTCCTCTCAAATTCTTCAAATTCTATCCATAATTCTACCAAAATTTATCAACACAATCCATCCTTCTTATGGTGGAAATTTCTCCATAAATCAACATTAAACTCATTCATAAATTCATCAATTCATTTCAAACATAAAAAAAAAAAATCCAAGCATTAATCATCTATAAAGCTCTACACATCATTCAATCATGCAAATCACAACTTAGGTGTATTTACTTACCTTAGGCTCAATTAGAATCCATTTAAGCTCTCTACTCTTGATGGCTTGATACTTTCTCTTAAACCTTAAACACAAACCCAATAAGGATCCTATTCTTTCACCAATAAAATTCACATCTAGAGTAAGGATTCTCACCTTTAAGTGCTTAGGATCAACTTGTATCAATTTCTAGTCAAAAGCTCTTCAAAGATCCTTGGAAAATTGAATGAAAGTTTGAGAGAACTGAAGGATTAAAGAGGCGGTGGAGAAAAATGAATGAAAGGGTTTCTAAAGCTAAACCCTTAATATCTCATATTTTCTCCACTCTTTCCCAATATACCCTTACTCCTTCTTTAAAATCCCACCTATGCCCTTTAATTCTTTGCAAAAACATCCCTATTCAAACTATTCTCCATGTAATTTTCTTGCATTTCACTCTCCACTTTTCCTGCTAATTAGGGGTAGAATGGTCATTGAGTCCCAAAAGGAAGAATTCTCTAAAAACTCAAGGGAAATTTCAGCAGAGTCTTCGCCACGGTGAAGCTATTTCTTCACCTCGGTGAAAACTTACAGTAGCTACACGGGGGTTGTAGCACTTCATCGCCGCAGCGAAGCTTCTTCTTCGCCCCAGCAAAGACTGTAACATCAAGATTTCGTCAAGTCTTATAAATTTTCAGGGCAACCACTTAACCAAACCAAT